TGAGGGAGCTAGGCATAAACTTATTAGCGGTGATATTTCCCCGGATCCCGGCGTGGTGCGTGCTATTAGTTCTGATTCGGCAGCTCCCTCTACAAAAGCGTATTGTCCCCTAATGGGAAATCTACAAGGCGAGTTTGACTTCTTTATTAAAAACCAACAACCAAAGGATGAAAAAAAAAATTACCTCCCTCCACACTCACTCTTGTTCTGCCTTTTCAAGGCTCTTGTTCCTCAAGTGCTGTTGTGAAACGCTTCCTCCTCATTTTCTTCCTATTTTCTGGCTTTTTTTTTCTTTTTCTTTTTCCAGTTGAGAGAAAATCCTTTTGGTTGAGAGTGGGAAAAGTGACAGCTACTTAAACCCCACCAGTGCACAGACTCAACCCGGAGGAGATGACCCACTGACGTGTGGTCTTTAGAAAGAGATGTTTATGCTGTCTAAAGCAGAGCATGGGCAGGATGTATTTAGCCACCACTAACCCCCCCAAGCGCTGCCCTATTGCCCCTCTCCTGAGCACGGTGAGGGAGCTGGAGGAGAGGTGTGCTGACGGGACTTCATTCCCATCCTACGGCACCGTGGACTTCATCTTCTTTGCCTTCCCAGACTGACGCTGCCACCAGCCCGGCTTAGATCCCATCACCGCGAGACTGACAGGTTATCAAGCAAACTGTCTCCTTCGCTGATACCTCCCCTCCAGACGTCCTCAATCCACAATGTGCCTCAAAGCGACAGTCTGATCTAATCTTCCCGAGGAAGGCCGCGATGCTTTACCCCTCCCGGCAAGCAACCCCTCCTTGAGGGGGTTTGCACCTACACCGGCGCAGGAGACGCGCTGTGAAGCCTGCAGCCCGGCCGGGACAGCTGGCATTGGGGACGTAAACAAGCAACTGCCCATGACTGATTCAGGGACCGATAATTTCCGACACTACAAGTGCTAATGCGCAGCCAAAGCTCTCTCCTCTGCGTCCGAACTGCAGTGAGTGCCTCCGGCTACCGGCATGGAGAGCATCCCGGGCAGCAGTTCCCTGCGAGCCGAGAAAAGGGCTCACCACGTGCTCCACGAACCTCCCCAGCTGAAAGCAAGGGCAGAGGGTAGATGTCCACCCTGTCCCCAGCTCTGCTGCTCGCCCCGTGGCTAGCTGGGGCTCCTACACGTTACTTCCAGCAGCTTCCCTGTGCATCGTGCAGGGCCAAGGAGAGGGAGGAGGTGCATGGGGTGAGGACAGCCCATCTGCGCTTCTCCGTGGTGACGTCCCCTCAGAGACGTTCTCACCCGCTCTCTGTCACTCAGACCTTACCAAATGTCAGGGACAGCATTTCTTTAACCAATATATACAACACATATATGAGACATAGGTAATTGCAATCCACACGTACACATCCACCGGGCGGGATAGTCTTGCTGGGTTTTTGATGGATTTACATTGCTGCTACGGAGCAATTGCAAGGAAACCGCGACAGGATCGTCGGGTGCCGTACTTACAAACACCTCGATGGTGACGGGGACGGTGCTGTTGAGCGGCGGGTTGCCGGCATCCTTGGCCATCACAGTCAGGTAAATAACCCCGTTGGCCACCTGCTCGTAGTCGAGGGGGTGGTTCACGCTGATAACTGAAAGGATGCAAAGCGGGGCGCTCAGGGGGACGTTCGTGCACCGAGCAG